AAACCGAGTTTTTGTTTTTACAGTCTTTCCCCAAAATTCAAAGAATAAAAGAGCATTTGCCTTTAACTGTACCGCAAACATTTTGTTTGTTTTCTCTTTTAAATTCATTAAAGTTAAAAAATTCAAAAATTGATTTACGTCCTAACGGTAAGAGTGAATTCCAGGATATATGTATAGGAGATGAAATGAAATGGGTGCACGGCAATTATAGTTACTTGAATGACATCCTCAATCAGCATTAAATGATCGGTAATGAACGATTAACATCCCATTGATTGAGTGCGCACTTTAACACTTGTTCCTGCGCGCCCACCTTGTTGTACAGTAAAGTCTCCGACGATCGTTCTGGCCGGAAACAAACAGAGAACAATCAAGAATCGGCCTCAGCGATGAGACTGAAACGTGACTGCCATCTGGATGATAAAACCTCTTTTCTCTCTCTCCATCTGTCTGTTTGCGTTTATTTTTATTTCTTTTCCTTTGTCGCAATTTTTGACACGACTACGTGTCTTGTATACCTACACACAATGTCTTGTATACCTCGAAAAAAAAGAACAACGAAAAATTACATACACCCTCTTCTGATAATAATGAAATATTCTATGAAAAACTTTTCGTTGATAGTGAATAACCCATGTACGTACATTATACCGATTGTTGTCAAGTTAAATCTCCTCCTCCACTCTCTCATTATGTACACTACTACCGATGGCAATTTGTTTTCCAGGACAACGGAAGGACGTGACTTTGATTGATAACTCCCACTGAATCGCAGAGATTTAATGCTATATATACACCTATGTACATGTGCCATCGAGCTTGCAATACCAATCGATTTACAAATCCAAACATAATCTTAATCAAAATCTAAAATTGCTGATAAAATGCTTTGGTGAGGAAAAAAATTTGCTATCCCTAAATTGTGTTTGTTGAGATCAAACGGAATTTCATTTTCTCTTAATGTAACTAAATTGAATTCTACCCCACTTTTCAACAAACTTTACGACAGATTTTCTCAAATTTACAAAACTCCTTCTAAAGTACGAGAGAAAATTTATCCAAACTTTATCAATAGTAGTTTGTAAACATTAAATTATTAATTTCAATTTGAGAATACTGTTCATAAGTGGTACTCTCTAAATATGAATATAAGTGCTTGTTCACTTATTCATGTTTCAAAAGTATTCAAAGTAAAAAATAAGTGCATACTGCATATACACTTAAAATAAGTAAATTTCCACTCATGATTAAGTTAAATTACAGGGTTGCCACGCTTTTGCTCTTTTCAAATTCCCAGACTTTTCCAGGTTTCATTTTTAAATAAATATTTAATCATTATTATTTTTTGATATAGAAATTAAAAATTTGAAATTTAATAACTTAAAAAAATAATATTATAAAACATGAAGATACCGATCACTCGGAGTATTCGACTCGGAGTGATCGCTTTCTTCATGTTTTATAATAATAAAAACTTGCTGCTTTGTTACTGTAACTTATTCAAAAATTATTTTCATCATTACGATTATTCATTTCTAGAATTTTCAACTAAAATTCTTCTTTAGGTCAATTTTTTTAAAATAATTTTTGAAAACATTCTTTGAGAATTTTCAAATTCTTTTTTTTACAATTTAATTTTACGAAATTTCGATTATTCTGACATTCTTTAATCAAATGTATTAGAAATTAAAAACTTGAAATAATTTTAAAAAATTCCATTAAACTTTTTGAAGAAAATTAATTCTACAGAATTCCTAATTAAAAGTATGAATAGTTCAAATTTTTAGAGATTTTAATTTAAAACCTTTTGAAAATTCAATTATTTTAAAAAATCAACGTTATAATGCTTTCAATATTCAATTATTATCTAAAATTTTAACTAAAATTCATTTTTAAATCAATTTTTATTAGAATATTCAAGGAAAATTCAATTATTTAAATACAAAAATAAATAATTTATTGAATAATTAAATGTTTCTTAAAACTCAATTACCATAAAGAATTGAATTCTTTCGACGAATTTTAATAAAATTTTTAAGAATAATTACATTTTTCGAAAAATTTGATTAAAAGTGTATTAAAAATAATTGAAATTCTGCAATGAGTTTTATTATTTGTAAAAGTATTTGAATTCCTAAGAAGAATTTTATTATTTTTGAACAATATTTCATTTTTACGACAAAAATTTTTACTTTTGAAAATTATTGAATTTCTGCAATAATTTGTAACATTTCCAAAATTAAATTTTTTTCTTGTTTTTAACCACAATTCTTCTATAAATGCTTTATATTAAATAATTTTTGAAAAAGTTCTTTTAGTACTTTCTAATTTATTTGTTTACAATTCAATTGTACAAAATTTCAATTACTCGTAAAATCTTCAATTACATTTATATTAGAAAATAAAAACTTTAAATAATGTCAAAAGAAAAATCCGCAATTAAACTTTCTTTAAAAAATTAATTCCACAGGATTGTTATATTTAAAAATATAAAAAATTGAGATTTTCAAAGATTTAATTTGAAACCTTTTCAAAATTTTCATAAAGAAATTTATCAACAAAATTTTTAAATAATTTAATTCTCTTGACAAATTTTAATAAAATTTTTTAAGAATAATTACATTTTTCGAGGAATTTGATGAAAATTGTATTAAAAAAATAATTGAAATTCTGCCAAGAATTTTATTATATAATTTTTGAAAATAATTGAATTTCGGAGAGGAATTTTATTTTTTATAAAGATAATTGAAATTTTGACGAGAATTTTTGTATATTTTTGAAAATAATTGAAATCTTGAGACGAATTCTATTAAAATTTCTGTTTAAATAATTGAATTCTTTTGTGAAATTTTATTTAAATAATAAACATTGTAAATAATTGAATTTTGACAAATTTTTGAAATTAATTAAATTTCTACGAAGAATTTTATGAAAATTATATTGAAAAAAATTTTATTGTTACAAAGAATTTCATTATTTATGAAAATAATTCAATTTTTTGAAGAAATTTAATTAAAAATGTATTGAAATTGAAAATAATACTTAAATTGTAGTAAATAAATTGTAGCAAAAGTTTTCAAATTTATTGAATTTCTTTGCTGAATTTAAAAAAAAAATTTAAGAATAATTTCAGTTTTCGAGGAATTCCATTAAAATTGTATTGAAAATTAAATTAATAATTGAATCTCTGTAAAAAATGTAATATTTATGAAAATCGTTGAATAATAAGTTATGAAAATAATTTGTAAATAATTTCATTGTTGCCGCAAAAACAATAAATGTAGAGTTCCAGGCTTTTTCCAGGTCAATAGTTATGAAATTGTAGTCAAAAATTAAAAATATTGCTGGCCTGATAACATAGCTTTGGCTCTTAAAATTTTTTTAAAATTTCCAAATACCAGATACTTAATAATTACGAGCCAAAAATTTTTTCTTCCGTAGAGATTTTTATATAGCAGTGACACAAAAATTTTTCAATTTTAAATTAAAATTTTGTTCAAAATCTTTAAAAACAGGCGGAATTCCAGAAATTTTTTAAAATTCCATTCTATTTCCAGGTTTTCCATACCCTTTTCTAAATTCCATACCTTTTCTAGGATTTCCAGGTCAGAATTTATTCTGTACTGTAGTTTTGTAAAAAAAAGCATTTTTTGCAAGTTAATAGAGATGTTTTTTATTTTTTGAGGAAATCTAGACGACAAATAACTGGAGCATTATACTCGGGGAGAATTAGAACGTGTTATTAAAATTTAAAACAATTACTTTTTAGGTCATAGGACCTCTACTTGTTACGATTTTTTAAAGTTTCTTAATTATGGAATTGTAAGGTTTAATATATAGTATTGCAAAGGTTACAATATTATCTGTAAAGTTAAAAATACAGCACCTGAAATGATCACCAAACTTTCTATTACCTAAGCACTATATTAGAAATTTTTAATACTACCTCAAGTCGAAAAACAATTTCCCCAACAACTAAATCTTTTTCTTAACGAGCTACGACATTATATTGTCGCGATGTATATATGTACACACACAAAGATTGTCGCAGAAGGTGATAAAGGATTTTCATAATATTTTGTTGGGTGAAAACGTCGCCACGATAAAACGGTACATCTAATTCGTTCACATATAAGGAAGATTGGTAACCTGAAATTCCCTTGAGACACAAACACGCCTGCCAGCAGAAGGATCAGTAGACTGGCTCTGCTTAATTAAATAAAACACCCCCAATCCTCGCCTCTCCCAAACCGGCAGTTCCAAGGGTTTCTCATCCACGTTACGCAGAAAGGGATGCTTTTCCACTTGGAAGTTACTCCAGTTCTACAGCATCTCTGTCATGCACAGAGAGAGGATATGTTCGAAGAGAATATACATCCCAAGAGAAGATTTTCCGTTATAAGATTATACGAGAGCCCCTTTGCCTCATACATTATCCTTGTGGTATTGTTATAAGGACAAGAATGATACCACTTTTTTTTTCACCCCAACCACAAAAACATTCTTTTAATACAACTTTCATCAAAGTTATACCTAACTGAATTACAAAAACAATAAAAGTGAAATAATAAAGTGATAATGTAATAATCGAATGAGAAATATTATTGGATACAATAAAAGTTCTTCGACAGACGAAAATATATTATCAACATTTGCATTTAATTGGAATTGTTTGGCGGTTCAAAATTTTAGTTTAATCAAATTTTTTTTCCTGCAGTAAAAAAATTTAGTTAGACTTCAAAATTTGTTGTTGGTCTCAGCACTTTTTTTCAGTGCACTCTTTTCATAACTTTTATCATTTATAAATACTTGAAAATAAATTTTACAAAACGAATATATACTTTTTCCGATAAATTCTTTTTATTTAATTAATTGTCAATTCCATAGTACCGCGGGCCGAAATTTTTCATTAAATAAACGAATCAGAATTTTAAAATTATTTCTTTGATAATAGTATTTTACTCATAATATAGAATTATATTTCAATGATATTTACTTACGAAATGAACTCGACAGAAAACAATATGGTTTAACTCGAATCTGAAACAAAAAGAATATTTTACTTTGGAGTTATTATCAAAAAGAAATAAAAAAATAAAAACAAATAATATGGAAAGTTTTTAATAAATTACTTCTAAAAAATATTGAATAATACTAAAATCGATATGTAAAAGAAAGAGGAAAAATTTCGAACAGAATTTCCAGATGAAGAAAAATTTTTAATTTTGGGTGAATCGTTGAAAAATTTCCTCAAAAATTAACAAAAAAAATGTTAAATGAAGAATTCAGTTCATATTTCGAATTATCAGTAAAATTTATCGAGAAATTTTCGACATTTTACTTTACTATGTACAACACTGAAATGTAATACAAGAACGACCATTAATATAAAACCGCATTCAAGAAAGAACACCGATCAATCAATCATGCGCCAATATTCCTCGGATCAAAACACTCGCTACTCGAATTTTCAAATGTTTGTCATATCAATCACGCGCGCAGGTCTGACGAAAGTTAACGAAAGAAAATTCCATTCCATATAGACAGTAACATTTCATGTAACTTGATATCTCACTAGAAACATTATATAGACATCAGACTTCCAATAAATATATACATATAAGGATTTTAATAAGGATATCGATCAATCTGAATAATTGATTGCGATTTTATTTAATTAAAAACCAGATCCAGATTATGTGTGGAGTGTACATACATATATGTATACTCCAGAAGGAAGAAGTATTTACGATACGATAGATATGTAATAGCAAACGTTATTCTGCTTTAACAGCATACCTGTCCTGATATAGAATATAGAGCGATTCAATCCTATCGGGTTATCTTATATTCAAAGCTGCGAATTGCCTGATAATGGTTAAACATAAGTCGTAAACAGTAACAGTTACTGCTCCCAGTTAACCAGTTGAAAATCCAAGTTACATGTGCTTTCAACATATATTCGGCACCAGAGAATTCTATATAGCTTGTCATCAACTATGTATGTCGAGTCGCATTATTCAATTCTCTTTGTCAGGGCAAATAAAGTTAGGATATACTGGAATTTTTAATTTTTAAATACAGGAGACAATTTTTCCTTAAATTACACCCCAAAACTCATCAAAAATTACGAACATAACATTAAATTTTTTTGCTTCTTAACCCATTTATAGTCCCAAAAGTCCGTTTTTTTCTCTTCGCGAACTTGCACTTACCATTTTCAAAGATGGTGGACTAGAAAAAATTTGCACAACGTGTTTCTTATGTATTTTTTCGTCCTCTTTCAGAATCTGCAAGAAAATTTAACTTTTGACTTAAAAATTAAAAGTTATGATTGTTTAAACAAAAAATACACCAAAATTTTTGGTTTTGCTTCATTAAAACTATATTTTTGATTGAAAATGCAGGAAAAATTTGGACTGACAAAATATCGCGTCCAAAATGTATGACCTTTCATTTAGGCATTATTAGACAGGGTTGCAACGCTTTTGCTCTTTTCAAATTCCCTGACTTTTCCAGGTTTTCCAGATTAAAAAACGGAATTTTTACAGGTTTTTAATACGAAAATTATCCAAAAATATCAATAACATCAATTGTAAATAAATATTTAACCATTATTATTTTTTCGTATAGAAATTAAAATTTTCAAAAATTTCAAATTCAATAACTTATAATAATTAAAACTTGCTATGTACTTTGTTACTGTAACTTCTTCAAAAATTATTTTCATCATTACGATTATTCATTTCTAAAATTTTCAACTAAAATTCTTCTTTAGGTCAATTTTATAAATAATTTTTGAAAAAATTCCTCAATTAAATGTATTATAAATTAAAAACTTTAAATAATTTTGAAAAAATTCCATTAAATTTGATGAAAAAACTTAATTCTACACAATTCTTAATTAAAAGGATATAAAGTTCAAATTATCAAAGATTTTAATTTAAAACTTTTTTAAAATTATATTATTTCAAAAAATCAACGCTATAATGCTTTCAATATTCAATTATAATCTAAAATTGTAACTGAAATTCATTTTTAAATCAATATTTATTAAAAAAATTCTCCGAGAATTCAATTATTTAAATACAAAAATAAAGAATTTATTGAACAATTTAATATTTTTTAAAATTCAATTCTAATAAAGAAGTTAATCAACAAATTTTTAAAATGGTATTTAAAATTCTCTTAACGAATTTTAATGAAATTTTTAAGAATAATTTAATTTTTGGAGAAATTAAATTAAAATTGTATTAAAAATAATTGAAATTCTGTGCAGAATTTTATTATAATTTTTGAAAATAATTGAATTTTGGAGAGAAATTTTTTTTTCTAAACATAATTGAAATTTTGACGAGAATTTTTGTAAATTTTTGAACATAATAAGATTTCTGCGAAGAATTATAATACATACTTTGAAAAATAATTAAATTCCTAAAACGAATTTTATTAAAATTTCTTTTTAAATAATTGAATTCTTTTGTGAAATTTTATTTAAATAGTAGGCATTAAAAATAATTGAATTTTGACAAATTTTTGAAATTAAATTAATTTCTACGTAGAATTTTATGAAATTTACTTTGAAAAAATTTTATTGTTACAAAGAATTTTCTTATCTATTAAAATAATTCAATTTTTTGAAGAAATTTAATTAAAAATGTATTGAAAATAATACTTAAATTGTAAGAAATAAATTGTAGCAAAATTTTTTAAAATAATTGAATTTCTTTGCTGAATTTTAATAAAATTTTTAAGAATAATTTCATTTTTCGAGGAATTCCATTAAAATTGTATTAAAAATAAAAAGTATGAAAAGTTAAAATTTTCAGAGATTTTCATTTAAAATCTTTTGAAAATTCAATTATTTCTAAAAATTCACGCTATAATGCTTTCAATATTCAATTATAATCTAAAATTTTAACTGAAATTCAATTTTAAATCAATGTTTATTAGAAAATTCTACGAGAACTCAATTCTTTAACTATAAAAATATACATTTTTTAAACTATTAAATGTTTCTTAAAATTGAATTTCCATAAAGAAATTTATCAACAAAATTTTAAATAATTGAATTCTCTTGACAAATTTTTAAAAAAATTTTAAAAATATTTGCATTTTTCAAGAAATTTGATGAAAATTGTATTAAAAATAATTGAATTTCGAAGAGGAATTTTATGAAAATTATTTTGAAAAAAATTTTATTGTTACAAAGAATTTCATTATCTATTAAAATAATTCAATATTTTGAAGAAATTTAATTTAAAATGTATTGAAAATAATACTTAAATTTTAATAAATAAATTGTAGCAAATGTTTTTAAAATAATTGAATTTCTTTGATAAATTTCAATAAAATTTTTAAGAATAATTTCATTTTTCTGTCAAGAATATTTTATTATAATTTTTGAAAATAATTGAATTTCGGAGACGATTTTTATTTTTTATAAAAATAATTGAAATTTTGACGAAAATTTTTGTAAATTTTTGAAAATAATTGGATTTTTGCGAAGAATTATAATACTTTTGAAAATAATTGAATTCTTGAGACGAATTCTATTAAAATTTCTTTTTAAATAATTGAATTCTTTTGTGAAACTTTATTAAAATAATAGACAATGTAAATAATTCAATTTTGCCAAATTCTTAAAATTAATTAAATTTCTACGAAGGATTTTGTGAAAATTATTTTGAAAAAAATTTTATTGTTACAAAGAATTTCATTATTTATGAAAATAATTAAATTTTTTGAAGAAATTTAATTTAAAATGTATTGAAAATAATACTTAAATTGTAATAAATAAATTGTAGCAAAAGTTTTTAAACAACTTTGTAAACAATTGTTATAAACAAATTTCAAATTAACAGCAAGTAAACATGTAAAAGTGTCGTTTATTCTTTTACTATTTTTTTCTATAGGATTAATGAATCTTTAAACTTTAATTTACCTACTAATACTTCTCAATTAGTTACAATCAATTGTTATAAACATATTACATTTTCACAACAATTGAATAAAAAAAACTGTTTTTTCATTTAATATCCTTTTTTTCTATAATAGGGTTCATATATTTTGAAACTTAAACTTAATGTTAAATAATTTTAACAAAGTCAGGAGCAATTTTTGTAAAATTATACAAATATAAGCAAAAATTCAATCATACGCCATTCGTATTTTTCCCACTATTTTACGATAAAAAAATCCGTGTAAAATAAACTAATTAATTTCAAAGATTCTGCGCTTGAAAGTGTAAGAAAAAGAACAAGAAGAATGAAAAGCAGTACTCTAAACGAAACAAAAAAAGAGCATCACAACAAATAAGAAAAAAATGTAAAAACAATAAAGATAAACAGAAAGAAGAAACTGTAAAATAAGAACAAGAAAATACTGTGACTGAAAATTGTGACAAGAAATTCCAGATTACTCTATATAAAATCTTTTTGAAAATAAAAAGATACTTTCAGTAGCAAAGATTGCAAGATGATTGATTAACTATACGAGGAGTTTGCATCGCAATAAAATCGAGTTTGATTTAATTACCATAATTAATTATTGCGATAAAATAGTCGAGTATTTTTTTTCTTTCACAGTGATAATAGATGCACTTCACACTTTTATAAACGCAAATTTATACATATATAATACATAATTATTTACATACATATATATATATATATAATATATACACAAGATTTTTCTCTTTATTGCTGAGGAATTTGATTTACAAGCAGGATATTAAATGCAAATGTTATTATATCTTAACACCTCTTCACTATTCTTTTATTTCCGATATTTTCTTTAATCCGTTAGATATGTATACATTCACGTGCGTATATATAAAAGTATTTGAAAGCAACTTTAAATCTAATTATAAGTTTGGTATTACACCAGATTTTAACGAACAAGTCCCAAGAGAGAAAAGAGAGTTTTGTTGTATATAAAATTTCTCCGCATAAAAAATATACCTACACGCTTAGTTAGTTTGCAATATCTGGTATAATACTTTATTCGTTCATGCTAACAATTTTATTAGTTGCCTGGTG